TTATTATTATTATTATTCTATACTCTTTATCAGATTCATAACATCAATATCATTTCACAATTACCATTAACCCTTTCACTGCTGAAATGTATGTATCCATCTAGAGTAAAATTTGTACAGACAAGATAAAACTCCTTAAAGAGAGATTTTCACCAAAGATTTATTTAAAAAGTAAACAGTAGCACACGTTGTTACTACACTATCTCCAAACATTTTCCTTATATGAAGTTGCATGAAAATGGCAGAGAACATAAGCTGGAATAACACAAACCAGTGCATACGTCCACGCAGCAGTGAAGAGGTTAAATTAAGGGAAAATGGTACAGTAGAAGAGGAAGATCTGCCTTGAGAATGCGGATCGTTGAGATGTAGGAAAGTTATTGCTGCAGACATCGTCTACGGACTGACGTCACAAGGGGCTCATCTACTGAATTCTGCACCCTGGTGTCGTTTAAAGGAGTGCAAAATGTGTGTGTTTGACCTGGAGTGGTCGTATTGTCTGGGAATATTTTGTTCTGATTCTCTACAGCTCCTGACTGATGGACCATTTCCACCCTTGACATCAAAGACGGCCTGAAGGGTACTTTAACATTATTTCTGTACCTTGTGTAAAACTGACGAACTGAGTTGGTGGTGAGGAAATGCTCATTACAAAAAGCTCTCTGCTCTTTACTTATCTTCATCATAATCTCAGCAGGCAAAGGAAATTTAAGAAAAAGTATCTGCAAACTTCTGTAGGCCGGTTAGACTACAGTAGTTTGCAATATGGCGCAATCGTTGGGATTTTTAGTGGTAGGCCTAAAGCGAACTAGTGTGTCATGCTACGAAAATGGGGACATAGCTGAAAATGAGTTGTTTTTTAACTCGCTATACAGAGCAAAATTATTCAGTGGATTTATCTAAAATGAATTTCAGACAAATTCCTTTTGACTTCCAAACGTTGTGTACAAATTTGAAACGCAAAACTTCTGTGTGGAGGAAAATATTAGCAAAAAACCTTGTACAGTTGTTGTTTGTTTTTTTTTGGTGTTTTTTTTTTATTTTTTTTTTTATCACGATCAACCAGTACAATCTATCATTATTTTTAAATCTATTACTATACAAAGTTTCTTGGGAGACCTAAAGAGACATAAACGCCTTGAACAGCTAGCTCTCATTGGCAAAATTAAAGGCAACGAGGCAGAGGTAGACTCAGAGCAACTTATTTGGAGAACCTAAACAGATGGGTGACAGCGAAGGATCAGGACTGGTAATGTAGCTTTTTTGAGAGCATCCGAGCTGATGAATGAATGGAGAACCATAATCGCCGATGTCTGTCGCAGATCTGGCACATATGATGATGATGATGATGATGATGATGATGATGATG